AGAAAATGAATAACCAAACAGAATTACACAAAACCTCAAAGACAAATAGGTTTAGCTTACAGTACTGGTTGCTACAGTCTAATAACTTCACAACTTACATTATCTAAGAAACTGTCATATCTAGATCTTTGCAGAGGTAATATTACATTTCAGACTTAATGATAAAAAGAATTAAATGCCGCTTTATTGTGTGAACAGGCTGGATGGAGCCATGGTGGATCTTTACAGATAAGAGGAGCATAACAACATCTATACTGCACCCTGTGCTATGCTGAGTCACTTTATTTAGCGTTTTTAGTCCTCATTATAGCCATAAAGCTCTGTCGGAAATGGTCCTGGATTTTATCTGTCATTTCATGGTTCATATGGATCAGCCTCTTTGGCTCACGTAGGATTACCAGCAATGGTAACTAAGAGATAAAGAGAAGGGTTGGACATCAGTGATCAACCCATCACACGGTTCAGGACCAACAGAGGAGCACAGTACGGGTTTATGGTTATGCTCGAGCAGCACCAGCCATTCCTCAATTGTATCATTTTTAAATTGCTTTTCAGACAACAACACAATTATTTAAGTGCTCAGCTACTCATCAAGCTCTATGTTAAATCAGGTAGCCCAACGCCAACCTCCGTTTCTCTGTGATCTTTCTCTCGCCCTTTTATCTAAAGTTTTTCCTACAGACTAAACAATAGTTTTGAATCCAGAAGAATCCAGGGTTAGTTGTCATAATTACAATACTGCTGTACAAATGCAAAACTGCATACTGCAATTGCATATTGCATCAAAAGTGAGTTATGACCAAAATTGTGTGTGATTTAGATCTTGTTTTATCTTGTGATAAAATTCTTCTGTGATGTTCTGTTTTGAAGGAACACTATGTATCATTTACGTACTTCCTACAACTACAGGTGGACAGTCATGGCACTTTGAAGCCTTTTCTCAGTTTCACTGTCATCTGTCACTGATGCTTCCATGTCCCACTCTCGCCAGTGTGGGGAACCAATAAAAAAGGCCAATAGGATGTTGGGTTACATTTCTAGGTGTGTGGAGTTTAGGTCAAGGGAGGTGATGTTACATTTATATAATTCCTTGGTAAGACCCCACCTAGAATATTGTGTGCAGGTTTGGTCACCATACCTTAAGAAGGACATTGCTGCCTTAGAAAAGGTGCAACAGAGGGCTACAAGAATGATTCCTGGTCTTAGAGGAATGTTTTATGAGGAGAGATTAGCTGATCTGAATCTGTTCAGCCTCGAGCAAAGGAGACTAAGGGGGGACATGATCCAGGTATATAAGATTTTAACAGGTCTGGATGTTGTTCAACCCAACAGTTACTTCAATACTACAATTAGTTCAGATATAAGAACTCATGGCCATAAGTGGAAAGTAGCAGGACAACATTTAAAATGGATTAGAGAAAATACTTCTTTTCACAGCGTGTAGTTAGAGTATAGAATAGTTTCCCTGTTAGTGTAGGGCAAGCTAAAACCCTGGGTTCCTTTAAATCAGAGCTAGATAAGATTTTAACAACTCTGAGCTATTAGTTAAGTTCTCCACAAACAAGCTTGATGGGCCGAATTTCTTATATTCTTTTGTGTAGTTACATTATTTTATCTCTGTAATGCAGAATAAATACAACAATTAAAGTGAAATAAATCAATTAATTCTGAAACTGGATTCCATAGGCAGTTAGTACAGTAACTAAAGTTTTCAAAATGTAACCTTATTTTTTCCCATTGACATTCTGTTGTAGTTTGAACTTAACTAAATGACTAATGAGTGGCTTCCAAGGGGCTGAGAGGCAGGCCCCAGAAGGTGGAGAGGGGCTGTCCAAAGTGACGCTCTCAAGGGGTCAGCTCGGCATAATTACAGTCAGGCTGAACTTCCAATGAATGCCCCGTTACACGTGTAATTAGCACATGTAGCATGTAGCGCCTGAGACTAAACCAAAGGTATTTCCTTACTGTGAAAGGCAGTGTAACTCCCAGAAAATCCTCCATCACAGCAAGAACCCTTGAATAACTTAAACCTGGAAAGAGCAAAATAATACTAAAGTAATCCATCCATCCATCCATCTTCCAGCTGTGTAATCTGGTCATGCTCTTAGGCAGTCAAGTTATGCACGTTGTATTTTCCAGCTGAGGAAACAGTGGGAGAAGCTCCTTCTCCAGTTCTGTGCAGCTCCACTTCCATCTCCATCATCTCCCCATCTTCACAGCAAGGTTTTTTTTACTGTCATGTGTACATGATAAAATTCTTACTTGCATGCCTCCTGCAGTGAAAATAAATGCAAGACAATAAACACAAGCTAGTGAGTACTGTAGTTGTTGATAACTAAGAATAAATACAAAAATACCTGAAAACAGCACCGATAGAGACACTTGGATTTGCAAAAGCTGCTTCAAAGTGTCTGAGCATCAGTTTGGCCTGTAATTGCCTTTTACTGAGAAGCCTAATTGCATGCGGATAAAAAAATGCCCCTGAATCATGCATCATCTGATAGAAGAGAAGATGATGGTTTGAATCTCCACAGCATCCCCACCAATATAGATAGCATCCCCCATCTGGGCAACACTGACAGCCACAGTTAAATCAACTTAATTCACAGTTTTGTAACAGTAAAAGAAATAAAACTCTCTAGTGCGACCTTACTCTAGTTTGTGTCAGTTGGTTTTGTGTATATTTTGCTGAAAAATACAGAAACAAATTAGTTCTACACCAAAATTTCGAAAGCAGCATACCCAGAGGAAGACAAGGCGAACATATAAACAGAGGGTTAAGGCTAGTCCTGTGGCCTGTACTACGAAGCGGGGTTACTGGATTATCAGGGTAACTTGTCGGATTTAAGGTAGTCTGGGCAAAATGTAAATGAACGAATATGAGGTCCATTTAAACGTTGCTACCTTAAATCCGACAAGTTACCCCGATAAGCCAGTAACCCCGCTTCGTAGTACAGGCCATTGCTCTCTGAACCACTGTGCTGCCAAATAAAATTTCAGATGTTTGCTATTCTGGAAAAATTGTCTTTGGCTGTTTATGTTTTGGAGTCTACTTTAAAAAAAAAAACAAAAAAAAAACGTAACGGTCCCTTGTAGACCGACTGAGTTATTTGTTGGGTGTGTATTGCATTGCAGATAAATGTGACCACTCACAAAATATCTTAATAATATGTTGGGAAAAATACACTGTAAAGTGCTGCAGGGGACATGGGTATTGTAGCTGCCCATACACCACGGCACGCACTGTTTTGAATTGCTGAGCCAGAGTCTTATTATTAAATACATATATGCCTGGTGAATATAAAGCAGAAAAAAAAGCAGAATAAGCATGAATATTTCAGCATATCTATATCATGGCTGGGGTGCCACTGGTGAATAATTATAGCATTGTTATCCTGTAATGGGAGGAAATCTGTGTGTGTGTTTCTGGGTCATGGTATAAGTGGTTAGGAGATGGATGGATGTGTATTTAATACAGGCCTGCAGCGTACCGGGCGTCGGTCACAGGAAGCACAGATCGTGTGGTAGGGGACGTCCTCAATGGGATGTCTGTCACAAGGCATACAGGACAGGAGGAAAAATAAGTACCTGGAGTTCATCCATACAAACTCCACACTCACAGAACAAGGTCAGAAACCTGTAGCTTCTGTGCTGAAATGCTGCATCACCACCCTGCTACTTGCCATATAAAGTTATGTCATTTTCATTTTGCATTATTACTTAATATTGCCTACTAACTCTTACCATTAATCCATACTTCTTCTAACCACATATCGTGGTCAGGGTGGCAGGGTGCCTGGAGATTATTGATTAAGACATACTACTAATTGTATCTTACCAATATAACGTATCACATTGCTCTTAACCTGTTGGTTCAAGATCAACTTTATTTTTCCTGAAATTATCCCTTTCAAAATATTTCTCCACGATCTTGTCTTTTTAGTACAGGGCAGATTGAATATCGTCGAACATACGTGCATGAATGGGTGTCAATTGTAGGGTGAGCTTATGCTGAATTTGCTAATAAGCACTCTTACTTCTCACTAGAATATTAAATAAGAAGTTGCAAAGCTTTTTCTTCGTCTAAGCCAGGGATGGGCAATCTTATCCACAAAGGGCCAGTGTGTATGCGGGTTTTCGCTGCAACTCCCTAATTAGGTCACTAATTAGAGGACTGATTGGCTGAAGAGTCCTCACACCTGGGTTTGAACAGCTGACCTACAGGTCATCCCAAAAACTTGCATACACACCGGCCCTTTGCGGATAAGATTGTCCACCCCTGGACTAAGCCACTTGAAGTACGTTCATAATACATTAAGCTATTAATACATAAGTTGATACATGGCACATTTGGCATTCCGGTTGAAAAACGTTGGCACAGACTACAAGGCTGAGGTAAAACATTGTTTTTTCAGAACTGGAAATCTCGTAGAGTCATGGAACAGTTTTAAAATCCGGTCGACAGCTGGGGGGGTTCTGAATACAATGTAGAATAACGTGAGGTGCTTGGAAGGATGGCATCTTCTTGCTATGTGGGACAATAATCCCACTATCACAGTTTTTTTGTGCATTAGAAACTGAATGCGCATTTAAGTTGCCTGTTTTGTAACCTCCTGAGACCCGACCTATTCATTTATGTCCATTGTAGTGGACATTGTATTTTTGCATTTATGTTTTCACTGATGTTGGGAACCGTATTTATTCTTGTTGTGCACTAAAGAGGACATGCTGTGAAATTAAAATAAGAATAAATTTGAAAAAATCTAAATTGAAAGATGTCTTATTTCCTCCAAAGACAAATAACCTACAATTGAAGGACACTTTTTTCCTTGGGTCTCAGGAGGATATCTTATAACTGAAACAATACTTTCGGAACAAACAAACAAGCACGCAAATAAAAACGCAAACACGCACAAGAAGATAGAGGTACACCCCCCCGCGCGCACACCTCCCGCCTTTTCCACGCCCACGTATTTAAGCAGACGTCATTTCCAGGTGTCGGTATGTGTGATGCGCTCTGTGCGGTGGGGAAGGCTGGAGATAAGCGCTTTAACATGAAGAGCAGATAAACATAATAAAGAAACGAAAATACGTGCTATTTCTACATAAAGTCGGTGACAGACAAACGAATGTGAAAATATTTCAGCTGCTGGATCTTCAGGCTTTCCTAAGACATCACAATAATTACGCCGGCAGAGGGGCTTAACTTGTTTTCCCGGGACCGAGCTTTACAGTACGACTGCTCCAAGAAAAGAGGGTTTTTATATTCCGAAGCGAAAGGCAAATAAGATAAAAGTCGTTGGGGAGCGAACTGAATTGCTATGACGGACGGAAGGAGGCGGTGGGCCTGCTCGCGCTTCGGCCGCGGTCTGTCCGGCGCAGCTGCCCCCGGAGCGCCGCCGCCGCAGCACCGAAACGCGTTGCTCATCTCCGCGCTTCTCTTCTTTTTCGGACCCATGTCTTCCACCGAGGCCAAGGAATGCGACAAGCCGTGTCTGAACGGCCAGTGCAACCCGGGTGGCGGCAACTGCGTGTGCGAGCCCGGCTGGGTCGGGGACCAGTGCCAGCACTGCGGGGGACGCTTCAGGTGAGAGAAACTGAGCTGTTTCCCCCCCGAGCAAAGCCAGCCGGCAGTCTGAAGTTGGCAGCTAGGTCTGCCTTCTCTGTCTTTGCATTATTTTACCTAACTGACACACTTCATATGGTGGTTTGCAAACCTGGATCGGTGTTCCCCTCGCTTTCCTTTGCATCCCTATACGATGTTTCCTTCTGGAAACATTTCGCTTGTTTATTTATTTATTTTTGTTATTGATAGCGCCGTTTGCGTTTGTTTGATTTATTATTGTTAAAAAATTATTAAGCACTAGTACAGTTGTACGGCCCGCTTGGCCATGTCAGATGGTTTATTAATTCAGCCCTAAAATAACCAAGGCAGAGTAACAATATGATACATAAAAAGCCTGAAGCTGGTTGTCCGGAATTGGCGGTGAGATGCAGACGGATGACCGCGTGTTTACCGGCGGAGATCGCCGGCGTTTAGCTTGCACCTAATGGCCAAGTGTCTATTAAATGTTTAACACGTAGCTACAATGTAACCGGTGTAGGCTGAGTAATGTGTTTGATGTAATGAGTAGGTAACAATGTTATTCGATACTGCACAAACGTTTTTTGCTGTCGTTTTCTTCAATATTTAATATTGTTGTGCTTTTATGCGAGCTGCATTTTTGTAACCGCACGGCTAAAATGTCAGTTTTTAAAGGCACAGACGGATTAGAGTGTAGTTTTTTTATGGTGGTAGTGATTTTAAAGATAGGCCCGGTTTGCTATAGGACGCGTTGCCACCAAATGTCAGGGCTGCTTCTGAATCCACGGTCCCATTCTGTGTCTGATAGCGGTTTAAAGCAAATCCGCCACATCCTGCCATTAAGTAGGATTCATTAGCATGTCTTGACAAAGAAATGGAAAATTATTGTTATTCATTGAAAACGCATGTCACCGAAAGACGCGTTGCGTTTTCCTTTTCTTCAGTGTAATTGTCAGTGGAGTTTTCTTGGGCGCTTTGATTGAATGACATCTGTTTTAAGACAACCTCTGCGTTGGTGAGCCATTTATCTGTGTATTTGATAAGATACTGGACGTTTTGGCAAACACTTTCAACATTACTTTTTAAAATGTTACAGTAATTAATAAATGCTATCAGCATCAGCTTAATTTGTTCAGGTTATGTGGCTCCATTCCAAATGACCCCTCTCCACCCAATTTTATGCGTATGATATGAGAATCTGATATGATGCTTTGGCTCTCGTTGGGTAAGAAATAAAGGTGGGAATTTAATGACTCGGTTACATACACTTAAGGTGATGCTACAACACTAATTTAACTTCCCTATATTGAATCTGATGCTGAACGTAATGTCTTTTTTTATGGTTTACCTAATATTGACCATGTTCTTATATACATTTTATCTCTTGATGTCCTAGAGTGTCACTCATTCTGTCGTTCCCTGTGTCCCGGACCTGTGCTCTCTTTTTCCAGGCAGCGTTCATGTTCATGTTCCTGTTCATGTTCCTGTGCTCGGCCTGTTTGTTCTCACTTTTTTCAGCCTCCCACCACATGTGTGGATGCTTTCTTTGTGCAGTCGGTGAGCATATCCGTAGTCTGCTTCATAGGTCAGCGACCATGCCTCCCTCTCTCAGGGAAGCTAAGGTGTCTCTCATATTGGCCCAGCTCTGAAGGACGTCATTGTCATTTCCCAGAGTGTGTTTGATTTATGTGTCTGATATAAAAGGACAATGTTACTTCTGTCGGATCAGGGATTCTATTTGGTCTTGGGTCATATTTGCTCCTCATGGATACACAGTGACTCCCATGGCTGCACACCGATGATCAGTCCTGTCCTCTGTTCCCACATTTCCCTCTAATGTAATGATCCGGTTCAGACACCCTGGTTGAATTTGTTGGTGTTGAAAACACTTTGTTCTTTAACTGGAATTAATTGCACCCCACTTATTATTTTTGTGTTAATTGTATTTGTTGTTTATTTAAAAAAATGATCTTTAAGATGGTAGATGAGAATAAATAGTTTGGCTCAGGTTTAACTGAAGCAGAAGATTTGTTTGTGGTCTTGACAGCTGGTAACTTGGCACAGCTATGCGGTTTAATAATTACCTCTACAGGAGTGCATGCAGCACCTTTGCCCAGGAGGCACCCAGTGCTTGAATGTTGAACATGGGAGGGGCATGGGGAAGGGAGACTGCAGCCCTCGGCCCTCTGCAGCCATTGTCCTGTAGTGAGGAGGATTCTGTGCGTGGGGTTGTTGCTGATTTGCCCTTGGGATCTGTATCTCATTCTGAGCTGAGTGTGTTATTTTAGACGTAAGGTTTCCAGTTGGATGCAGTCATCCTGCTGGCTGTGGCCTTTTGTGTATCCACCATTGGCTGGTACTGAGAGAGTGTACTGATGCTCGCAAACACAGCGAATGGCCGCTCACCGCATGGCCTGTCTCGGGATGTGCACACAGCACCCGACAAGAGCTTCTGGCTGCGCAGTGACCCTGACTGCACTCAGAACGCCCCTTCCACATGTTCCCTGCATTTTTCATGGTGGAAATGATTTTTAATGGTGCCCAAGTGCCTGTGATAACTGTGACTACTATTCGGAACAGTTGAAATGAGCAATACATGGGCATTTTTAGTACTGTATTTTTAATAACCACAGCAATGAAGGCACCCCTGTTTTCAGTGTCATTTCATTTATTCAACAGATTTTTTTCTATGTCCTCTGTGGCATTCAAAGGGCAGAGAGCAGGGTTAGGGATTGTTCACGGAGTGGTTGGGATTAAGGGCCCTACAGTGGTATCGCTAAGCCAGACCCAGGATTTAAACTGGCAACCTTTCGATATCAGAGTCCTAACTCACACAACCAGGTGTGTCACCAGGGCTGCTTTCCTTCCCAGACCATTACCTGTGTGTGGTCTGCGGGCCTTATGGCTGCCTGTGGGGGTGGAGGGTGTCCCGTCGCTCCATCATCTTGCCCGACTTTGTTGTGGACTAAAATATAACAGAAGCTTTGTAAACAGCATAGGCCGCAGAGCTTGTGCTGTGTTTCGAGATCAGTCTCATTTTATAAAGATATTTTTATTGTGCCTTATTATGGCATCTGGCTAATTTACTGTGGAAAAACTAGTTCTGGAACACCCTGTGAAATGACCCCAGTTTAAATTGTGTATAGTTAAAAATGTTTGTATGAAGCATAGTAATGATGTGGGCAATTGAGGGAACAGCAGAATTTGTATTTGGTGCCCCTGGATCATTTTGAAATGTTAGGCGTGGTGTGTGTGTGTGTGTGTGGGGGGGGGGCTGTTCAAAAGGTCATCGACCGTGCAGCCTGTAACCTTCAGCCCTCCCATGGCGGT